GCCCACAATTTCTGCGTCAAAGTCTGAATCGTAGTCATTTAGTTAGCTATCTTCTGTGTATGGATTACTATAGAAAATGTCCGCTCTTGTTCTTATAACATACTTGGATCCGTCAATGAATACGTAGATTTCACCGTTGGAACTGTCGATCATAGAACCATTGGTTATTCTTCTCTACTGGGAAATGGAAATAATGTACATAATTTCTCATGGGTTTTCTTGCACAGTCGCATTGCTAATTATCCCGAGTTCAATTCTAATGTCGAGTATGAGTCCAGCTCCATTCGTCTAAAATGAAGAACCGACTGGCCGTAAATATTGCCTTAACTTCCCTTGTATGTTCATTGTTCGGATGCCGAAGATAAGCCCGAGAGTTTTCGTTGATGTAGTTTCCATTGCGACGTAATAGCCAGCAGACCTATTTCACCTACTAAACTTTAATGTGGTGCGTACGTCATTTGAGCCTATCAAAAATTTGCTGAGGCGGCTAATACCAGTTTCGGCTATGTTTTCTGGTGCGCCGAAGGTAGGACTTCAAAGATTTTTCAACATCAGCATTGAAAAATTTGGACTATGGAAGAGAAAGTGCCTGGATGGTTCCACCTCACACTCACCTACAGAACAAGTAGGTCAGTAGCTCTCTTATGTTTTACTCTAGGCAAAAAGTAGCTTACAGTCGGATAGTAGCGGTTCATCAACCAGCGCATGCTAAGAGTATGCGAGGTCCATTGATCCAGTGTTAGAACGCAAGATACCAATTGAAATCCAAGTGGCTTCCATTCCGATATATGAGCGGGGTAAAGGTGTCCCCTCTGGCTAGCTCATCGACTTTTTGGATATCAGCAATTCTGACCAGGCACTCAAGCGAATCTGATGACGAAGAAACTTGATGCTATTTCTAACGAAGACACATGTAGAGCGCCTATTTAGAAAGCACTAACCAAAAGCTAAAAGTGACGAAGAGCTTCTTACAACCTTCCCTACTAGCTTCGAACAATTCGTGAAAAAATATCTTCTTCAGCTACTTTTCTCAGTGGCCAAAGCTTTCTCGAACGCAGTTAAATGAAAAGAGAATTTGGAAGTGTCCTTGTTCGGACCCCTTTATATATCAAGGTGCTGAACCTTAGAGCGCACTTCGTAACAATACATCTGCCGGCAATGTCCACGGTTATACCTCCTAGTGAAGAAACCCATTTAATTTTATTTGAACTGACGGCGACGTCGCTTCTATTCGCTTAGTTGAATACCACGATGAAATACCCTTCGGTTAACTCATACACCATATTTTGAACTTTCCATTAACCATAAGAAAAACGTCCTCAATGTAAGCTGTCCCCCTCATTTTCGTTATACGAGTTCTTTAAAGAGGTTGATAAGCACCGAGATTCAAAAAAGTTCCTCAGTCTGCGGGGTACCCTCTTAACCTTTCTGTGTGTCTTTGAACTACCCTGCTCTTGTACGACCATCCTGTCGCAGAGAAGACTGTATATGAAGTACTTGAAATATATTTCCACCTTAAACTTTTCGAGGGCTTCAACCACCGTCTCCGGAATGCATATTGTTGAAGACCCTTCGATATCTAGAAATGTGCCTACAGAAAAAACTGTATACATAAGGGCTCTCTCCAACCAACTCTCTCGAGAAAAGCAGTATCGACCGACCTGCCTTTGACATAACAAAAGTCTCTATATACGGTTGAAAGCGGCGAATTTCCGTTGAACTAGTTATCACAATAATGCTAATATTCCATCTCTTAAAGTAGAAACATGTCAGATAATATGAATATGTTAATTTATGTCGTCACCACCAATTTCAACGATCGCTTGCGTGACTACCCACAAAATTACCTCTTACCCTACGACACCTCTTAGTCCCGCTACCGGAGCGTCATAGTTCTCAGCTTCACTGCGCACATGCAATCTCAAGAATTTCTATCAATTACAATTCAATTTAATTCATTTTGTATCAAATCGAATTGAGCACTGCACACAGCGGTGAGCCGACATAGCCGCCATCTCTCAACTGTCCGACAACACAAGTAACATTATGTATAAGTTTTATTGTTGTTGCTTTAATTGTATATATATACATATATACACATACATTACTACGTCAATATATGTACATATGTAAGTATATAATTCTTTGCTATTTTTGCAATTCACAGTTATTCGTGTGTGTGAGGAGAGCGCTGAAATGCATCATTGGCAATTTCGCGTCTCAAATCGTATTTCAATGAATTGAAACCTTTGTCGTCGTCATTGGCTGCGAGCGCAAAATTCAACCAAAAACGAGGCTATCGAAAGCAAATTCAATTCAAATTGATGCCCATATCGCATGAACATGCGCGTACAACGCATCGAATGCATGCGTGTTTGTGCCCAGACCCAGAAAGAAATCTCATTGATTATGGCTTACGGGCATATTCTGAAATTGAGTTCACGTGATAAAGGGTGTTATTTTAGACATGTGGTTTTCTAGAGGCTTTCTATGTATTACTTAAATTTATGGCCAATAATTTAGATAATAAGAGTGGGCCATTATGAATTAAAGCTGATTACCGGCAAGTGGCAGCTGCGATTTTCTCGATAAATTCCAGTTAAAAGGCAAATTTTCTACCAATTTTCACAGCAATTGAGGCTGTATGTCAGCAATAACATGCATAGACAAGCAACTTCACATAGCCCCACAAAAAATAACACAGCGGTACTAAATCGTGCCTCAGTAACAAGCCAAAGCCTCACGACGCGACATCATGTGCTCACAAAAAGTTTCCTTCAATAAATTGAATGTTTCGTTATGTGTACTCCACGTAGCGTCATTCCTGTTGGAATCAAAGGTCGTCCTCATCAACAGCCATCGACTAAAGCACGAAAAGATTATTATTCCTGGCTCTATGGTGTTCTTCATTGACAGTAATATTGTGATCGCCGCCATTTTTGATGGAATATGACCGAGTGATGCCTTCTGCCCATAGATCACATCAAACAATGACGGCATCGGCATCTCAACAATAATATGGTTTGGATAATCAACACTTCAAATGCGCCAAGTTTGTGCATTAAAATACCATTTCAATCAAAAAAGAGCTTCATCGCTTCGCTCAACTTATGGTCACCAAAATCGGACTACTGTCCGTGTTATTCGCAACTCCATCATCCATCTTGAGACCCAGCATTCCTTACTGGATAGCATTCCACTGAATAGACCAGGTCCAGCAGGCAGTTAAGAAAATATAGCGACCGTAGCTGAGCGGGTACACGAAGACCGTGGATAGTCGATTCGACGCCGTTCGCAGCAACTCGGACTGACATATTGAACGTCTTGGCGGATTTTACGTCGAGATCTTAAACTTTAACGTGAACAAAATACGGCTTGTGCAAGAACTGAAGCCGCTTAACCTTCGCAAGCGAGATCGGTTCGCTCTATGTGTTCTGGAAAAGTTCCAAAAGATCTGACGGTTTCGAGCCACATTGTGTTCAATGAAAAGGGTCATTTCGGTATCAATGGGTATGTATCTAAGCAAGCAAAAGTGTCGCATTCTAAAAATAATGGTTTTGTGTGGCTTGTGAACGGGTGGTATCATAGCTCCATATTTCTTCAAAAATGTTGCCGGTGAGAAGGTGACCATTAATGGCGACCGTTATCGGGCCATGATAACCGAATACCTGAAATTGAAGCTCGTGATCTCGGCGATATTTGGTTTCAGCAAGATGGCACCTCTTAACACACCTCGCATCGGTGAGCAGATAGTTTCACGTTTTGTGCCGGTCGATTAGTCACCAAGATCGTGTAATATCACAAGGTTAGACTTTTTGGCGGTATGTAAAGTATAAAGTCTATGCAAAAAATCACGCTCCGATTCAGGCCTTGGAGCAAAATATCACGCGTTTCGTTCGTCAGCTAGCGGTCGAAATGCTCGAACGTGTCTTCGAAAATAGGAATCAACGGGTGGACTATCTTAGGCGTAATCGCGGCCACTATTTGAAAGAGATAATTTTCAGAAAAATAAATGTCAACGGCTGTGTTCTTTCGAATGATAATAAAGATTCACCAGTAAATTAGAAGCGTCTGTGTTGTTTCTTTAAAAAAATAGGAAACTTCCAAATCGATCACCCTCCGTATATTTTTTTCGAAATACGAAAATTCCCGTTATTCTTTAACACACCTCGTAGCATGTACATATGTTGAAACGAGTTCCGAAATGTTTAACGGTGTAGGCTTTAGTGCATTCGTATTTTGCGCAGTGATAAACACTGTCGAAATCGTGACATTCGGTAAATTTGTATGTGTAGGTGTGTATGTAACTAGCACCTGAAGAGACGCAAATGTAGCAGCAACGCTCTTCAAGACTCTGGGAAATGTGCAATCAAGATTATTGAAAAAGCAACAATAAAATATGAAGACACTAAACTATACAACAACATAGCATGACTTCAGACGCTTGTGTTAATTGTTGTAGGAGAAATCATCTAATTTGCACACTGTTACACACATACATGCATACATCCATACGCAAAACATGTGCTTACAGCAAAAGCGAACGAAAATGCTCTACTAAAATCATTATTAGCGTTTGCTTTGAGCGTCTCACTGTGTACTTGTACCGTTACGAGAATGCATGTATGTATGTAGATAAGCGCCCAGGCATATGGTTGCTCTTGTAAAGCAGTTTCAGTTGCAGTTAGCTACTTGCAACAATGCTTACTTAGCAGCATTTGCGTAATTAAGCGATTTGGGTCGTCGCGGGTCGTTGAATTACGCCGCGGCTGGGTCGCCTCACAGACGCACCGAATCCCTTCAACACACTGCACGCCAAATTGTTTGTTGCAATTTCATTGAATCGTTGCAACTGCAACACGCCACTTTGCTCACATCCACATATATGTGTATGTATGTATACTTGTCATGCATGTAGTACATCTTTACTCCCGACCCTCGTTCCATATTATTTTATTAATGTTGCCATAAGAGTGTGTGTATATATTGATTGCACTTACCTGGGCTGGTTTGCCAACTTAATCCGCCGATAAACATTTTCCTGCAATGAAACGGAGAAAGAGTAGGAATTTAATTAAAATTTGGGCTAGCAAATGCGATTTAAATGCGAGAATCTACCCACACACATGTGAGTACAAACACACTTAACCGTTATTTCATAAAGTGTGGCATTTCAATTTATCAATTTCCGCTACTTAACTGTTATATTAACCCCACTACATACAAATTGGTTCTCAAATACGTTTCAAATCTTTTCCATAATCCAGAAAAAGCAGAATGAAGACATTAAAGAGAAATTCAATCAGATCTACAGCCCCCAATCAAAACGTCACTCATTGTAGATAACGGCCGTTTTTAAGTTTTTCTAAGTATGACTTGCCATTTTATAAAGAACAGACATATTCAGGAACAACAATTGAAAATAGAGGAAGAAACATCCATGAAATCTTTTTGAGGAATGCTGGCGAGTTAGTAGTCCTTGGCCGCATAATGCTGCATTTAGTCGCCAACATGCCGTCCTTCCGTAGTGGCACCGTAATTGTTGTTGTTCTTTCTTAATCAAAATTTTAAGAGAGCAATCAGCTGACTAGTTTCTAGGGAAAAAATCGAAAATTCGCGGATATCCACGTATACCGACGATAGAAATATTGGTTCATTTCTAATAACTTCTCCTTGCTCTCATAAGATAGTATCGGCTGATTCGGTCCACAGTTTTGCACTGGTGACTAAATGAAGCGTAAAACTCCATGGTCATTTCGGTTACGTATACTCGATTTGTCGCATAAACGGTCGGTTCGATCGACATAATCCCACAGTAAAGTTAGTAATTCGAGCAACAGAAGGTCGATTTCGCACCACGCTTACTCTAGTTGATATTCCGCATGCTCAGAGACGGCGTACAGTGCGCACAGAATGCACTATTGTTCCCGTATTACAGGGTATAAAAGAAGACGCGAATGAATGCTGTCGAGTTAATCCCCTTTGACCGAATAAACCTCCGTGATAATTCCGATTATGTAGACCCAAATGTTGCCGAAACGGTCGGTTCGATAGACATTATAACACAACACTTGGAACTGTGCTCATCCACCCCTTTGATGATTTTGCAGAAAGTTTTTGGTTTGCGGGTTTACGAAACCCAAATCGTGCAAGATTTGAAGCCAAACAACTATCAAACGCGTCGTGTTATTGGTGACCGAGCAGAAGACGATATGATATCCTAGTCTCAAAAATAAAATGTCCAGCGCTGCAGCTCACTTTTAGTTGAATAGGTACGATAATAAACAAAACTTTCCTTTTTTAAAGTGTTGAAAATCCAAGTCAAGTAAGTTGAGACGCCGCTCCATCCCCAAAAGGTCACTGATTGATGTGATCTATGGGCAGAGGGCATCACTGGTCCATATTACAGTCAATGGGGCCATTATTTATGAAATTTGCAAGCTTAAGTTGGAACATGTTGATGTGGACCACCTTTGATTCCAACAAGACGGCGCTACACTGCATAGAGGTAATGAAGCAATAAATTTATTGAAGCAAACTTTTGGTGAGAACATTATCTCGCGATTTTTAATACCGCTTGGCTGTTTTTGTAGGCTTAATTGTAGTAATTTTGCTGTTGAACGAGCATTCGTTAGAGCAGATTAGACGAACGCGATTAAATTCTGTATGAAACTCGGTAAATCTGCAACAAGCACGCTTACCTAGATGTGGCTTTAGCAAGAAGTGATGTGTTTCGGTGGCACCAGGCCTTCTTGGAGGTCCGGAAAGAGGTCGCTGATGAAGACCGAAAAAATGAGCAAATCCAAAGTGAAAACGATGCTAATTGTCTTCTTTGACATCAAAGGCATCGCCCACCATGAATTTGTTCCAACTGGACAAAAACGTCAACGAAAAGTTTTACGTGGAAGTCTTCAAGGGGCTCAAACTAAGAGTCAACCAGACTTCGCAGCCGATTGGAAGTTACACCACGACAACGCCCTGGCTCACACCGCCTTTCTTGTTAACAGCTACCTAAGCAAGGCTGGTATCCCAACGCTTCTGCAGCCGCCCTACAGCCCAGATGTGGCCCTCTGGACTTTTTTTTTTGATTTCGGCTCTCTCTCAAGCCTATTCCGGAGAAAACCTTCAATAGAGCCCTCAATACCTGGAAATCGCCTATGAATATTGTTCGGGCAACACTATAATTTCCGAGGACCTGTTAGTTGCCATAAAACTAAATACTTTACAATGACACTAAATTATATGCGTTTTATTTCTTTTTGAACAGCAATAGTTAGGGCTGTCTACGAGCGTTCATGATTTAACCATCTCTCCGGCGGATATGTGTTGTTTGCAGAGTTTCAACTAAACTGTTTGGAATCTGGCACACTGCACTCAACAAGCGCATATAATTTGAGAATTTGTAAGTCGAAACTTTGCAACTTTTCTTCAAAAAGCTGCATCAGAAAGATTTAGATGGAAGCGGGCGTACTGGTAGCATCGTTAGGTAGATGATCTATTACCGTCTTTATTAGAGTAAAGCGGCTTTCTGCTTGCTATTGTTTTCAGGCGCTAAGACTTACTCAATGTTGCATGGCGATAGCCGGCAAGTTGCAACAACCCAAACAGTTGGGTTGAGGTCCCACGTTCACCGCGTTATGTGAATATATCCACCCACACAAGTATGTACATACATACATATATATGTATGCAATTGTTCAGCAAACTACAACTGAGAGAGATTTGTAGATGACAAAGAAAAAACGACGACGACAGCAAACCGAAAATGAGGCGAAACAAAAGCAATTTCATACAGCCAAGAATTAAAACAGCGCACAACAACAACAAAGCGGATAATAGACAAGACAACAAAAACTCAAAAAAAAAGAAGAAAACTAGGCAGCTCTTTATCGTGATAAAGACAATAACAATGGGAGAATGCAGCAACAACAGCACATAAATTGCAATAACAACTGCATCATCAGCAATCAATCTAAGCAACAACAAAGGTAATACACTAAAACAAAGGGATTTTCAAGCGGCAAAGAGCGACAAAAGCTACCGAATTGCATTCAAGAGAAATCGACGTCAAAGCACGAATCACTCACAAATATTTACATACATACATAATTACAAAGTTACATATTTATCCATGTGTGTGAGTCGAAAACTATAATTGTACACCATACATATGTATATACTAAGTTGGAAATCCGTTGCAAAATGAATAGTTGGCATTAAATATTTCAGAGTTTATTGAAGATTTTGATTTTGCCAGCTGAAATATATTTCGAAGTTTCTTAAGGCCCTTTTAGGATTGGTATAGAAAAGATATGTAAAATATAGTCGCCAGACTAGACAGCAATCAATATCTTAAAGGTATTTTCTTCTTCTTTTCTTTATTGGTGTGGACACCGCTTACGAGATTATAGCCGAATTTACAACAGCGCGCCAATCGTTCTTCCCTTCCGCTGTTTTTCTCCAATTGGAGATTCCAAGTGTAACCACGGTCTCCCCCGCCTGGTCCTTCCAACGAAGTGTAGGTCTTCCACTTTCTCTGCTTCCTCCGACGGGTACTGTGTCGAATACTTTCAGAGCTGTAGTGTTTTTATCCATTTGGACGACTTGACCTAGTCAGCGTAGCCGCTGTCTCTTAATTCGCTGAACTATTTCAATGACGTCGTATATGTCGTACAGCTCATCGTTCCATCGATTTCGATATTTACCGTTGCCATTGCGCAAAGAGCCATAAATCTTCCGCATAACATTTCTCTCGAAAACTCGTAACGCCGACTCATCAGATGTTGTCATTATTCATGACCCAGCACCTCGTATCAGGACGGAGATAATGAGTGACTTATAGAGTTTGGTTATTGTTCGTCGAGAGTGGACTTTAATTCTCTTCTCGATTGCCTACTCAGTCCAAAGTAGCATCTGTTTGCATGAGTTATTCTGCGTTGAATTTCGAGACTGACGTTGTTCTTAGTATTAATATTAGTTCCAAGATAGACGAAATTATCTACGACTTCGAAGTTAAGACTGTCAACAGGAGATATTTCGTCTTGCCTTCTTTCATTACCGAACCCATTTGCTTCGTTTTCTTATCCAGTCTGGCCAGTTTGGAGAAAGCAGAACTAACGGCGCGGTTGTTAAGGATAATGATATCAATATCATCCCTATACATATACGCCAGCAACTGTACATTCATAGAAGATTGTACCGTCTCGAAAGAATGTCTGGTGTCGAACGGCTCGGAGAGGTCCTTCTCGATCCGGGGGATACCAAATTTAGACATCGCGACAAAAGACATTGACATCGACAAACAGGTGATCGATCCCTTCATGGGTATTTTCCTAGATTTGGCGCATGCTGAATATCTGGTCGTTGTTGACTTTGAATAACTCGGCCGACAACCCAACAGCTCCGCTGCATTTTTGCTCTTCGAACGGATAATTGCTATTCGAATTTCTTCATAGTCGAACAATGGAACGTCTGCTCCATCATCAGTCCTTGGGGAAACGGATTCACCATCTTCAGGTGTTATGTTTTCACTGATATTCAGCATCCTGGAGAAGTGTTCCCTTTTTAATTTCAGTATGCTCTGGACATCAGTCACTAGATCACCTCTGAGAGTTCTAAAAGAATAGTCATAACACATATGGTATATTCGGTTCCTCTTCGAGAGGGCGAAGCTGCTCCCGATTTTATCATTTCCAGTCGCACCAAGTTTAGGCTCGCTCTGATGCTTCCAGTTGACATTCCTCTAAATATTTAAGTATGTACTTTTTCTCAGGTAAAATTAGGGAAATGCTCTAAAGTTTTTAGTCATATGTTTTATAAACATATTTAGTTTTTATCAAAGGTTTCGAATCTTAACATTCAAATGAGAATACCAATATATCTCATATAGGGAGCCCTTTGAAAGGTATTAACATAAAAAGAACAGCTTCGAATTATTATATCGCGATTTGTATTTAGCTAGCAGTTTCAGCTTTTGCTAAAAACTATCGTTTCATACAAATAATTTGAATATAGACAGTCAAAGTACCATTGCTGATCGGT